AAAAAATAAATAAAAAATAAATAAAAGTTCATGAACATGAATGTATGATTAGGCATAATTTCTCATGGTATATAATAATTTAGAATTATACAAGGTAAATAGTTTAGCTCTCTTACTCTTAGCCCTTAGACTCTTTAAAATCACAAAAGAAGAAGAAATTCACAGTGCGAATGGGTAGTAGGGAGGGTACTTCAAGGAGATTATGGGCTACTTAAGAAAACCCACTGGGAAATCTCCATGATACTGAACAACTTTTTCTATCCAGTTATATCTCAACCACTAGAATAGGGCAGGGGGCATTTTTCATATTTAGCCCATTTTCATATGTCCCATAGCACAGCATACTACTTAACCCTGCAGAAGAATTGTATTTTGACATTTTAATTCATTCTTTACCTTATCAAAAAGACTGGTATTCATTTCTCCATAATAAGTACTGACATTTTTCTTGAATGATTATTTTTTGACAGAAATTAAGACAACTGGATAACAAGTAAACCTTGAAATTCCAGAAACAATGTCTGATGACAGAAAGTGTGCTGCTCTTAAGAAACAGCCCCACCCCACCCCTCACACCGCCATAAGTATCATAGGTAAGTGCATGGGTTAGTGCTTACACATCATCCCTGGCCATCAAGGGTTGCAGAAATAATCCTGCTGTCCCTAAAATGCACACCAGGATGAAAACCCACAAAAAAATACGATCAATCACCATGGCAACGTACTTCCAGTCATCTTGAATCTGAAAAACAAAATTTATGAAAGAGGAAAAAAAGCATGAATCAAAGTGAACACATTTTCAATATTAAATATTCAGTATGTTTCAGCAGAAGTCATTTTGTCTCTAGTATGCGAGAAACCCTTTTCCTCTAATTGATGTAGTTTAAGGAATTCTACCAGCCTCACATCTCTCTTGATACAGTAGAGAAACCTCTTAAAACAAATATGAAATATTTGTCATGTTAACTGTTTCAAATCAGAAATGTCTTAATGTGTACTTGATCGATTTACATGATCTATTTTTTCTGAACTTAATTCCAATTTATAAAAGTTAGTAAAATCAGTTACTTATGGCTCTATGGAAGGATTCTGGGCTTTTGTTAGAATGGGTAATACAATCCAGCATCATTTACTGTTATTTAAAAGTATTCATTCTTATCTAGCTGTAAATGTTAATTTTCTTTGAACATCTGTTACCTTATTCCAAAAATGAAATAAGCACTTCTGGGCACAGCGATCATCACTCTTCCTGTCCCACCATTCCCTCTGCAATGCCCTACTGATCAAATGTCATCTTCCATT